TGCAGGGGGGAATCGCCGGCTGGAGGTAGAGCGTCGCCTGGAGCTGGAGAGAGAGAGGAGGAGGAAGAGGTCGCCTGGGGTGCACCGTAGTGCTGCTGCTGCTCATGCTGCTGCGAGGTGTCGAAGGTCTCCTAGGCTCGCGGTTGTTGGGCGTCCGGTCCAGCAGCAGAAGGATAGTGTGGTACGTTGTTCACTTCTTGCTGCTGGTAGAGCCCTCCGCCGTCGGGCAATTTGTGGAAACCGTATCCCCCGCCGGCGGCGCTGCCGTAGGGACCTCCGCCATGGTCCACTCCGTGAGCCGCGAGCCCGTACCCGTAGCCTGCCCCAGGAGGTGGTGGGGTCCAGCTGGGTGTAGATACGGGCGCTGAAGTGGCCTCCCATCCCGAAGTGATGTCGCCGCCTGATGGTTCTCCACCTCCCATGGAGAAATGAGCCAGAAAATAGGGCCGCGGTACGTTAGTAATCTGCGCGGGAGGAACGTTGGGCGGCGGATAATTACCACCACGGCCGCCCACCTGACGACCTCGGCTCTCCAGGGAGGAAGGACCGTCGGTAGCTCTATCTCCATGGAGAAAGTTAACCGTGAGACCTTTTTNGTTGAGAAGTGGCTGTAGGTCCTCCATGCAGCAGGACCCGGGTGGTGTATGAGTCCGAGTCCAACAGGAGCGTGCCGCCGACCAGATCGGGCCCATGTTCGAGAAGAGGAGGCTGGTCTGCACAAGCGGAGGTCGAGGCCACCAGATGAACGCCAGGAGCATGGTCCCCCGGAGCGTCCAAACGTAGACAAGTCGGGTCTTCGCCCGGGTCCTTCCGTAGCGAAGAACCTGTACCAGTAGCAACCTCATGAATGCGTCGATGTCCATGGAGAGGAGGCTGCGAAATGGGGGGCGTGGGAGAATTGGAAGCGGGGAAATCTTCGCCAGAGAGGGGATGATCACGCAGAAGGCGTCAAACTTCCATCAAAGCTTTTCCCAACAAGCTTGTACCGCTAGCCGCCCACTTGGATGAAACGCTAGCCTATGGAAAGCATGCAGACATGCCGATACCTCAAACACCATCGAAGGGGCTGGCTTCTGCAAGGAGGCGGGTACCCGTCTCCAGTATGATGTTTCATGTCATGGTTGTGAGAAAATTTGGCGTACGACCCCGTAAGCACGATCTCTTCACGACGACGCTCCCATTCAGCATAGTCGAAAGGACGCACATTCCGACCCAAAAACTTGTGTGTCTTATTACCTGTTGCAGCCATAATTTTGTCATACGACGTCATATCTCCAAACAACTTCGCTTTTTCAGACATCATAAATTGCTCACCACATGAATAACGTACCCCCAGTACGTCAAAAGCCGAAGGAGTCCATTGCGAGAACACAGACGGAGGTTTCCAGAAAAGAAGGACGTCATCCGAAGCGTACTCGCACTTGTCATCAAACGGCGGAGCCGGTGCAGGGCGGAGGGGCAAAGAGCGGGCACCAGGCACAGGCGGGGGTGGACCAGGCGGACGAATCCTCTTCTCTGACGGGGAGGACACAGAAAGCGAGGCAGGAGCGGGCGAAGTCGCAACGCTCCGTGATTTGGAGGGCGGCCTTAGGGCAGCGGCTCCGGCGGGGTCAATATTAGCAGAGGCCATTCGGCTATTAGAGACCCGTTCGTCAGGAGAAGTCATTCCTGCAACAGACGGATGTTTGATCATTGACGCAGGGCGCTCTTGACTACTCCCCCTTGACAAAGGAGCCGAACCTTCCACAGAATGGTGGGCACTACCATCCGATCCCGATGGCAGTGGTGCAGTCAGCACGTGGTGGGCAGCAGAGGAAGACGCATTCGTATTAGGTGCTGTCACACGGGGCAGCGGACGGTCGAAGACAACGAAAGCTGCGAACGAGAAGGAGGATCGACGGGGTTCCCGACGAGTGTAGAAGAAGGCTCGTGTGCTGTCCTAGAAGCGGCCCGGCCGACAACACCAGGAGAGTCTTGACGAATAGTAGAAGACGAGGTTCTTGTTCCTTCTGTAGCCCGAGACGACGAGGTGAGCAGGGATGGACCGCTCGACGTCTTATCTCCCTGTCACCCACACCACAAAGGTACTGTCGAAATGGCTCTGTCATGCCCATTACCAGCAGGCGATGAGGCGGACGACGAGGAGGCGGGCCGAAAAACTAGATGTGATTTAGGAGCGTGGGGAGTATCCAAAGAAATAGGCTGTACACGAACATCTTGGGAGACTCCAAAAGGGTGCACGGTGGTTGCTGTTGACGGTAGTACCGGCTGAACTCCGCCATCGGCTTGTCATTTCTTACCCCTCCAGCCCCTTTTTGTCGAAGTGGAAGCCTCCGACGAGCGCTCTGTGTGTGAGGACTGTTTCGTGTCCGATGTGTCAGATGAGCGGCGGGCGCGTCCTAAGGGGTGATTTCGATGTGGGTTGCGTCCTGTAGGGCGTCTATACGAGGTCATGCGCTTTTTTCACCGACCCCAAAGGGTGGGATCTTTTTCCATACAGAACTTGATGTCATTGTTAAGCAAGCCGGTGGCGTTCACGAAACCACGATTACAGGATTTGAAGGAGTGGTCTTCTCCTAAGCAGTTGAGGCACATGCCCTTGTGCAGTCGAAGCGCGTTGCGGCGTTCTTCAGCCGAGACCAAGGGGGTGAACAATGGCGGATCATTCTTGGTGAGAGCCATCTCACTAGCGACGTAGATACCTCTTGCAAGTGTCCTTGCAACGGCCAGTCACTGTAGTGCAACAGAAAAGGTTCCCGATCATCATTAGGTAGAGGGTCAACACTCATCACGGCGGCCGAAGAACCTTGGCTCCACGAAGGGGTCACCGTCGAACGCAACGCCGAAGAAGCTACACGCGAAACAGCAGACGAACTCCTAGCATTCGTGGGAGATACCAAAAAGAATTCATCTCCATGCACCGCCGACGTGTGCGCGAACGCACGCTTGTCCAACACATCCCACATATCATCCAGACACCAAGCATGTCGCCCAAAAGGGGCTTCCATGGAGAGCTGCTTCAACACGGAGTCTCGAACAGCTATCTGCACTTGCGCATCCGAAGGCTTGAACGCGTAGTGGGAAACCATGACGGTCATGGCCAGAGCCTTATAGCGACGAATGTATTCTTCGTAAGTCACGGCGTTGGATACGCCAAAACTGCGAAGACGATCAATGCCCGAGCTCTTGTCTTGAGTGCCCCAGGCAGCCGCCAATTTCTGGATGAAAAAGGCGTACGTCGAGGGCCCTGCCGGTTCCTTGCGCAGATGGTTTTTGTACCTGTAGAAAGGTGGCATCAAGAAATTCCAGCGTGGCACGGTTGGTGATTTGGCCTTCTACGACAGCAGCACGGACACGTTTGGGGAACAACGGAAGCCATCCGGTGACCCCGGTGGAGGAATTGAAAGTCTGCTTGCGCTAGACGTCGCTTTTGTGGAGGATCTCTGTGACCACACCCTTGCAGCTAGACGCGAAGCGAGCAAATTCATCAGGATCAGGACCGAGGGGCAAGCGCGTGACACTATCAAGTTGTTCCGGCTTCAGCTTGTCCATCTTGCCTTGAATGCGGATGGTGTCGGCCTCCGCTGCAGCGGCGTCCGCAGCGTCCAGAGCCTCCTGCCTCGCTCTCGCTCCTGTGGAAGACAAAGGCAAACCAGCATCGTCCTGTGGCAACGGTGACGCCGCTTGACCCGGTGGCTCGACGATGTGGTCGGTTGTAGAGTTAGGATCAATCAGAATAGACCACGCTGGAGGGGGGGGCGATACCATCAAAGGCTGTTGCAACAGGGCTGGGGCTGTCGACGCTGACGGTGCCACCGCAGGCCCGACCGGTACTGTCGCCGACCTCGTTGCTAATGACGATGATCCTGGCGTGGTCCTGGCAGCGGTTTCGGCACGAACATCGCGCCCCACAGGAGCTCCCGAAAAGCTCGAAGCGTGGTCTTGCATCGGTGTCGGATGCGTTGGTGGGGAAGAAGATGGGGCAGGTGGTGGCACGTTAGGAGCGTTAGGGGGGCACAGGAGGTTGTACATTCGCGTCGGCAGCAGCATCCACTACTTGATTTGCTCGCAGGAGAGTGAATACTTGTTCCAACAGCATTTCAGTACGGGAAACCGAAGTCGAGGCGTGTNTCAGTACGGGAGGCCGAAGTCGAGGCGTGTGATGCAGCATGGCGTGGTGACTCAACAGGTTCGTCCAAAGGCAAGGAAGATGTGGGATGATCCATGACGGCATGGGCAGGGGCATGGCTTTTCACAGCGGCTGAACGTTCACGAAGTTGCATGTTGGCAAGTTTAAAAGCCAAAGAAGACCTGGTCGGTTGGCCTACATCACCAGGAGGGCGTAGAACAAGCGGTGAAGAACAGAGAGAACCGTCTTCTGAAGCATCCTTGTTTTCCCCCAACAACCCAGAGCTACGAAAATCACCTCGATCATACATCACTTGCCTGTTACCGTGGCCTGACCTCCGTCCCCCTTTTCCGCCGCGACTGCTGTCAGTGCTGGTCGCCCTGCTGTTGCCCCCGCTCTGGTCCTGGCTCCGGCTGCGGCTACGCCTAGACGGAGGCGTGTTTCTCCCACGACGGTCTCCGCTCCGGCTTCGACCACGCCTAGACGAAGGGTTGGTGCGCTGTTGACGTTCTGTGCTCCGACTCCTGCTCCGGCGATGGCGACTCGCCGGCGAAGACCTGGTAGGCCGGTTCCCCACGGCTCGCCCTCGCCTGTTATCTCCGACGCCGCGCCCTCGCGAAGACTGGGTGGAGCGGCGGTGGTCGTTCGTCCCGCTCTTGGCCGTCGAATCCCGGTCGCCCCAACGGTTCTTGCAGCTCTTGGACACAGGAGCCGCCGACCAACTGTAGTAATTGTCCTCTCCAGAACCATGCGCAGGGCGTGAAGAGGCCTGCCGGGGGGCTTGCAGATCGTGCTTGAAGTCGTTGTTCGAGGGAGCACGAGCAAGAGGCAGCTGGAGTCCTCGATCTTGTGTCACCACCGACGTTCCTTGAGGACCTCTAAAAAAGGTGGCACGACGGAGAGCGAACAAAAGCTGGAACACGGACTGCCGCGAAGAAGGCGGAAGTTTCGCGATGTATGGGGTGTGATAGATGTGCCCGAAAGCAACGGTGTGCGGTGGAGGAAATTGTGCACGGACGAGTTGTTAGATGCCAGCCCATGCAAAAAGAGGTGCCAATTTGTCCTCATCGTGGAACGTTACATCTTCTGCAGGCATCTCCAGCGGGCGGGACAGGAACGCTATCTCTCCAACGTGGAACTCGTACACCGTGGTTGCCGCCGCAAACGATGCTCCGTCTTCAGCACCGGCCGGAAGACCCAACGTCACCGAAAACTCCGGAGTCGCTGTCCTCTTCCGCTCCTTCTCGTTCGTCGGAGATGCCGCCACTTCCCGCTCCTTCTCGTGCGGCGAGGCGGTACGATGGGAACCAAGGGGTACCTGGGATAATGCGAAGGTGTACCGATTCAAGTAAAAGGCAATCGACGAATACCTTGCGAATCGGGTCCTCCTTAACACTCGCCACCCACAGAATTTACCCTCAACTGGGAACCTCTTGTGGCCAGGATGGGTGGGTAATTCGATGGAAGTGCCACAAGGAAGGTTCTTTGTAGGATCGACTTCAAGAGGTGTTCTCAGGACTGACACACATTGTGTCCATGGATGGGAAAATATCCAAGTCGGGAGAAGAAGTGTGCACCCAAGGAGATTTGAACCAGTATCCAGCTGACGCCATACGCGAAGGTGTACCGATTCAGGTAAAAGTCGATCGACGGATACCCTGCGAATCGGGTCCTCCTTAACACAAGGCTTTGTAGCCAGCGTAGTCATCAGAACCATCGCTTTTCTCAATGGGAGACGAAGAACATCCCCGTCTCCACCCTTAGTTGACCCCCCCCCCTCATCTACAACAAGCCCCCCCCCTCGGTGTTTCCCATCGGGATTGGGTTTTTTCGTCGCTTGGCAACGACGTTGTAAAACAAGCCCATTCACTTCGTGAACTCGGCATCCAGGTTGTTACCGTTTTTTTTTTTACCTCTGTTTTTTTTTGCGGTAGTAACCATGAATGGTGGTCGAGTAGATCATGTTGTGCGGGGTAGAGAGCCCTCACTCCGCACAAGGGGGATGATCGCACCACGTCGTGTNCGACGTTGTAAAACAAGCCCATTCACTTCGTGAACTCGGCATCCAGGTTGTTACCGTTTTTTTTTTTACCTCTGTTTTTTTTTGCGGTAGTAACCATGAATGGTGGTCGAGTAGATCATGTTGTGCGGGGTAGAGAGCCCTCACTCCGCACAAGGGGGATGATCGCACCACGTCGTGTTATAATGGTCACGCACCCTCGAGGCAGTTACACAGTGCTTACAACTGTCTCTGGAAGTGAAAGCACCAGAAAATAAATTAAGTCATACGCAGCTGTCATTCGTACGCAAGGAAGCACAAGATGCCGAACACCCTCGGCAGGATGCAGCGCACCCTTCATGCGACTCGCCGAATACCTCACGGCGCTTCGCGCTNAATGGTCAAGCACCCTCGAGGCAGTTACACAGTGCTTACAACTGTCTCAGGAATTGAAAGCACCAGAAAATAAATTAAGTCACACGCAGCTGTCATTCGTACGCAAGGAAGCACAAGATGCCGAACACCCTCGGCAGGATGCAGCGCACCCTTCATGCGACTCGCCGAATACCTCACGGCGCTTCGCGCTTGGTGATGTGAGAGCCTGGTCCGGTGAGAACCCGGCGTGCACCGTCCCGGCTTTGTAGGGTGTTAGATATACAACATATACACTGAGTGAGCTAAACAGTCAGCGCTGACTGTTTAGCTCAGTGGATATGTTGTAGTCTATAGTCAATCTAACAAAAGTAAATGTTGTATATCTAACATAGTCTAGGGATACAAGGTCAATGGTCTAACGACTACGGCATGCACGACTATGAGTACACCCCCCCCTCATCCGCCTTTGGGTCACCTCCTCCACCTCCTGCCCCCTCGTCCGCGAAGAAGCACGGCCTGAGGTAGCGCTTAGCGCCGTCCTGACGATCAACGCTCTCGGTGGAGAGAATCGGCCAAACGTATTCCAAGCCGAACCGCATAAAGCTCACCTGGAAAAACCTGAGACACGAAACAAAGAACAAAGAGCGTTCTGTTAAGGAGGACCCGATTCGCAGGGTATCCGTCGATTGACTTTTACCTGAATCGGTACACCTTCGCATATGGCGTCAGCTCGATACTGGTTCGAATCTCCTTGGGTGCACACTTCTTCTCCTGACCTGGATATTTTCCCATCCATGGACACAATGTGTGTCAGTCTTCCATCGAATTACCCACCCATCCTGGCCAGAAGAGGTTCCAAGTTGAGGGTAAATTCTGTGGGTGGAGAGAGTTAAGGAGGACCCGATTCGCAGGATATCCGTAGATTGCCTTTTACCTGAATCGGTACACCTTCGCGTAGTATGGCGTCAGCTGGATACTGGTTCGAATCTCCTTGGGTGAACACTTTTTCTCCTGACTTTGATATTTTCCCAAGGACATAATGTGTTTCAGTCCTGGTAAACAACACCTCTTGGAGTCGATCCTACAAAGAACCTTGTGACACTTCCATCGAATTACCCATCCCGGCCTCAAGAGGTTCCAAGTTGAGGGTAAATTCTGTGGGTGGAGAGTGTTAAGGGACCCGATTCGCAGGGTATCCGTCAATTGACTGCTATGTGAATTGATACACCTTCGCACATGGCGTCAGCTGGATACTGGTGGTTCGAATCTCCTTGGGTACACACTTTTTCTCCTGACTTGGATATTTCCCCATGGACACAATGTGTGTCAGTCCTGAGAAACAACACCTCTTGGAGTCGATCCTACAAAGAACCTTGTGACACTTCCATCAATTTACCCATCCTGGCCACAAGAGGTTCCCAGTTGAGGGTAAATTCTGTGGGTGGAGAGTGTAAAGGAGGACCCGATTCGCAGGGTATCCGTCGATTGACTTTTACCTGAATCGGTACACCTTCTTCGCAGTTCCATGTTGTTAATGTCAGTTTGTTTGACGTCACGGGTTCATACACAAATAGCTTGCGACAAACCACCAGCGCGTCCACTGCATAAGAGCAACGCCAGGGCACACTGAAGATGTGGGAAAATGATGAAAAACACTGGAAACGCGTCAGGAACAAAAAAAACGAGAGTGTTGTACGTCAGCAGAGCTTGCACGTCCCATGAGCGCTGACAAATTGCCAACAGTACACCAGGGGAAACAGAATTAGAAGAATACCCTTAAATACAACAAAAAACCTCAGCCCCATAGAGCGTAGTTCACATATCGAAACAAAAGCAATGTACATGTCGCTGATGACGTCCAAGTTTTTTCACCGCCGCCGCCCTTCGCAGCAAACGTTATAATATTATTATTGTACAGACAGCACTTCAGACAGCAGTAGTACGCTCTATTCGACAAGCATTCATTTTGTTTGGCAAAGTGCGGGACAAGGGGGGGTGATGCTGCTGTAGTTGGATTTTAGTGTGGGCGTGTAGACTACTTCAGTTTTGAGCACGCAAACGTGCTGCAGGGATTGTAAGTGTACCTCCTCGGGCTTGTGTACCCTTTTCTTGCTAATAATAGTGTGCGTGCGTGTTCTTTAGATCTTTTGATGGCTCTAGCATTATTTTTGTGGCCACGGACCGAGTCTTTGTTTGCTAGATTTTGGGATTGTTGGCAACTGACACGAGTTTAATGTGAAGAAAACAACAACAACAACAACAAACAACATATTCGCCTGATTGAGAGCGTAGCATCTGATTGAGAGCGAGATTGCGCGATACGCTGTAGCCGGACTACCACTGAGAGGTGGAGCTTGCTGTGTAGCTTGAATTGAAGGGCTAGCCCGTAGCTTCAAGCCGCTACCCTGGTCATCCTGTGGGAGTCTCTCGTTGTGGAGCTACAGCGGGGAGCAGAAGCTACAGCAGAGCCCACCGCCCGACGCGATACCGCCCTGAAACAGTTTGAGCAGAAATAGCCAATCTGGGCAAATCTAGCAACTTGTCTAGCTCCTCGCTGCAGCATCCGATGACGATGACACGCATATGCTCGCGAAGCTGCTGATGAGACCTTCAATTTGCACCGCTTCTTGGAATAGCCCGTCCCCTACTTGCCAAGAAATGGCAAGAGGCGTCTGGACCCGAAATTTCAATTTTTTTGGCTCTCGCTCTCAATCAGATACTTCGCTCTCAATCAGGCGAATATGTTGTTAACAACAACAACAACATCTAGATCATCAGTGTTAGACACAGCAGTGTAACCATCGACACTGTCTAGGAATAATTCCACATTAAAGGGTAGTCCACAAAAAAAATGGGGAGCCCGTGGTCCCATAAACCTGCGGGATAGTTGTCAACGATGTAGAGTTTGGAATGAAATTAGGCCTCCGGCTACGAAAAGCCCGGAGACTCCACCCAGGGTTACTACCTCCGCGTTGACGCCCTCCGTGTTGTCAACGCGGTAGTCGCTCAGAATACTGACCCCAGTCAAATGAAATACCCAGCACAGTTGGGTAGGCGGGGACGGCTGTTCTTCCTACCGTACTCTCCCTCCGGTAGGGTTGGGAAGGCTTGTCACGAACGAGTGGTGGGTGCTCGCTCCAAGGCTTCTCTGCAGGCAATCTGTTCTTATCTGCAGAACCCCTTCGCGGTTCCATGATTTCGACATTATTTTACCAAGACGATCCTGATTCCGTCGAGGATCATCGACTTGTTTTCGTAGTATGTACTTCCGCGCATTGTCTGAGTAGTACTCCAACATGTCCGATCCTTCGCGTCGAAATTCCTTACAGACGTTTTCGACGATCGTCATGCCTTTATCACCCCGGTCCCCGCCGAAATTGCAACGGGAAGGTTTCATGTGCATGAATATTATTGTCATGCACTTTGGATATCCCACGCGGACCGGTGATACGACGCAGGAAAGACGGTCGTAATTTCAAAGGAAATAACTGTCGGTGGTCTGGCAGTTGGGACTGCTGTACAGGACGTACGATACAAGTGGTCACGGGCCGCGTTTACGTGACATGGGGGTTCTCTGCAATTATTGACCGTCTACGCGTATCGCCTCGAGATGGGGCGTACCACCCATCAAGTGTTTAACGTGTGCGTGCATCACCCTGGACATGATTTCAATAGATCGTGGCACCTCACGAAGATCACATGTCGGCGTACCTTTTCCTCTATCTACCTTTGAAATAATTTCTTTGATATTGCGCCTTTCACATGCTGCATACCGAGCACCATAGGTCTCAACGCTGCGATATAGGTCCACGACCAGTCACAACGAGTGCAGGATATTGCTGCCCCACGAAACGGCTGATCATCGAGAGCTTTGTAGATATTCTTAACATTTCGCGCGTACGCGGATAGGTAGATGCGTGCTCTCGAGCCATACGTTCCCCTTTGTTGGCGATATTGCGATACGACTACAGGGCAGGGGTTGTTGTCGATACGATTCGCTCACGAGAGTTTTGGGGAGCCATTTCGCTGGCAGTCCTCGATGCCATGTGCCTCGGGATGAGTGTTTCAAGCCGACTCGTCTCCGTCTCCGACACGATGAGCTTGCGATTGCTTTTGACGCCGTTTCGTGGGACGTCCTCGATACGATGTGTTTTCGGGATGCGTCCTTTCGAGCCATCCGTCGGTTTCGATTTACAACGGCCTCGATACAATTCGGTACGATGAGCTTGCATTTCTTTTGACGCCGTTTCGTGGGACGTCCTCGATACGATGTGTTTTCGGGATGCGTCCTTTCGAGCCATCCGTCGGTTTCGATTTACAACGGCCTCGATACAATTCGGTACGATGAGCTTGCATTTCTTTTGACGCCGTTTCGTGGGACGTCCTCGATACGATGTGTTTTCGGGATGCGTCCTTTCGAGCCATCCGTCGGTTTCGATTTACAACGGCCTCGATACAATTCGGTACGATGAGCTTGCATTTCTTTTGACGCCGTTTCGTGGGACGTCCTCGATACGATGTGTTTTCGGGATGCGTGCTATCGAGCCATTCGTCTGTTTCGATTTACGACGTCCTCGATACAACCCTGTCCCGTTCTCGATACGAGGGGCGGGCGATGGCTTGGGACGCCGTTTCGTAGGCCGTCCTCGATACGATGTGCTTCGGGATGCGTGCTTTCGAGCCATCCGTTTGTTTCTCAATTTACGATTTAGCAGCGAAACGTGTGACCCCACGTCGTTAGCTGTCCTTGATGCAATCGCGGCTGACGACTCGGCGGGGGCCGCCCTCGGTGCAATTTCGTTTCCACACAGGTGCGTAGCTCGTTTCTGAAGGTCCTTCGGGTTCCGCGGCATGCCGGTCGGGTGTCTTCGTGGCATGACTTGCGAGGTGCCCTCGTAGAGACCCACACCATCATGGTAGCCGTGGGGGAATCGGCCGGCGACATTTAGATAATCTCAGATACGGTAGCCAGGGGCGACCGCCTGGTGGTAGCGCTTGGACCAACGCACGGCGCGAGGGCGGCGACCGATGTGTTGGACATGTTTACGGGTCTTCTACCGAATGCTCACGGGGTCTCCAACGTTCTGTTTTCGGCGGACTATGTGCGTATACGCAAGAAGTCGGCTCCGGTCGCGGGCATGAACGCCGCCATGGGGACGGCGCTCGGCCTCCCCATCGTACCCGCGCCATTCCCGACGTTCGGACCGGGGGGGGGAACTTTCGGCATCCACCCTTCCCCGCTTCCCCTGCAGATGGCGCTGCAGCCGGGGGTCCAGCAGCAGGCCCCGCGGCAATCTCGCCGGCAGGCACGATTGCAAGGCGCGTCACATGGGGTGGCCGGACACAATACCCAGGGGCCGCCCGGTCGGGGCGGGGGCGGCCGGGGGCAAGTAGCGGGGGGCGCAGTGACGGGAGTACCGTCCCCCGGAGGGTCCGCTAGCCCCCAACTAATGCTAGCCGACTTGCGCAACGAACGCAACCTCGCCCTGCAGCAAAGGCAACTGGCGAACCCGGGGGTGCCCGGGCAGGGCGAGACGTGCCACAAGTGCCGCGCCGCCAACCGTGATCCGAACCACTCTCACCTCACATGTGCCTTCTGGATATGCGGCAATTGCGAGGAGGCAGGGGCATCGCAGGCCGGCCTGCCCGAACCCGACCGTGTGCCGTGAATGAGCCGTAGCGTACGCCACAGAAGGAGTTTGGGGGGGACACGGTAGCAATTTACGAACGGGGGGGGGGATACTCGAGCTTTGCGCGCGGTTGGATTTGTTTCGCGGGTTCGAGATAGCATTTCGTATTCTGATAAGACGATGCGTGTGGTACCCGTCGGATGACCATATCCCGCTCGCGGTTCGCATCATTTTCAATGCATGTCAGTATAACATTGGCGTAACATGAGCGCTGACCCACGCAGTGCGTTCCTTCGATCGCACGGGATCGAGAAAAAACACCAGAATAGCAGGTGATATCCCCGCGGTGCGTTCTTCGATCGGCTGTCGGCGGGAAATCAATCCATTCGACGACAGTTTAATCCTCTACTGTCATACATGACCTCATGATAATAACATGAACAACATTGATTCTCCGTGGGGCGCGTGGATCGCCCCCGAGCGAGATCAACAAGAGAGTAGCACACAACGACCTCTGCCTTACGAGGGCATTGACTGCTATATCTGACGCAGTTTAATCCTCCATCTTTGTAGACCGTGCATCACATTAGGGAGAAGAAATGTCCATGTATCACTGCAAAACAATCAGCCCGGAGCGTCGTTGTGTCTGCTCTCCTTGCGTCCGCCATGCATCTCGGTGGGTCCGTCTGATCACACATCATAGCTACGGTCGCTTTTCCTACCACGGACCCTAGCTAACCCTCGTATTATCGAATCCCTAATCTTTCCGCTAAGCGGAACCCTTTATCATAGAGTGAAACTACAGACGTATACCGGCGAAACCTGTTCAACGTCTCACTACGTAGGTATTGGCCGATGATTGGCTGAAGAACCTCGCGCAACGACATGCGCAAGTAAGAATTACGTCCCCCGACGTCCCCGACCTGTCTGGCGAACAACGCGAATGGGCGGGGCCACGTTTGACGCCGCGAGTAGCCCGCGTGCCTACGATGGCACAAGTAGAGCGACCACCGAACGGGGACGGACACACCCGTCTGCCGTGGGACGCTCCGGTGAGAGACGCTGGCGAGAACGGGGAACATTTCGTACCGGGGGGGATTAACCACAACCGTGATATTTGGGACAAGGTTATCCTACGAGACCATGTCGAGCGCGATCAACTCATGTCATATATTCGGGACGTTGTCAGCGTCTTCGAATTCCTCCACGATGAGTACCGAGGGAAGTCGCGTAAGGAACCATATCGCCCAGCAGCGTTTCCGGAGGCCGTATTCCCCAACCACATACCAGACGAACATGCGGAATTCGTGCGGCGAGAGGTCCAAGCGCTGGAAAAGCGGGGATGTTTAGTTCGGTGGGAGGACGTCCGAGGACCGGGAGGCCCGGATAGACCGTGGTTGATCCTGTCCATTTCGGTGGAGCCAACCAAACCCCGTATGATCATGAACAGTATCCCCCTCAATACCTCTGCAAACACATACCTTTTACGATGGACACGGTCTCACGGGTGGCACACGTCGCAGAAGAAGGGGTGTTCATGGGGAGCTTAGACGACTGCGCGGGTTTCCATAATCTCTGCTTGAAGCCTGAGAGCTGGCCGCTGTTCGGCGTACACTACGATGGAGTGGATTACGTCTGCACCACCCTTCCGTTTGGGTTGAACGAGAGTCCATTTTGTTACCATTGTTTGAGCGAAGCCAAAGCCGCGTACCTGCGGTCCAAGGGCATCCCCGTCNCTCCACGATGAGTACCGAGGGAAGTCGCGTAAGGAACCATATCGCCCAGCAGCGTTTCCGGAGGCCGTATTCCCCAACCACATACCAGACGAACATGCGGAATTCGTGCGGCGAGAGGTCCAAGCGCTGGAAAAGCGGGGATGTTTAGTTCGGTGGGAGGACGTCCGAGGACCGGGAGGCCCGGATAGACCGTGGTTGATCCTGTCCATTTCGGTGGAGCCAACCAAACCCCGTATGATCATGAACAGTATCCCCCTCAATACCTCTGCAAACACATACCTTTTACGATGGACACGGTCTCACGGGTGGCACACGTCGCAGAAGAAGGGGTGTTCATGGGGAGCTTAGACGACTGCGCGGGTTTCCATAATCTCTGCTTGAAGCCTGAGAGCTGGCCGCTGTTCGGCGTACACTACGATGGAGTGGATTACGTCTGCACCACCCTTCCGTTTGGGTTGAACGAGAGTCCATTTTGTTACCATTGTTTGAGCGAAGCCAAAGCCGCGTACCTGCGGTCCAAGGGCATCCCCGTCCTGGCGTATATCGATGACGCCTGGTACGCGAACTTCGTCGCCACCTTCAGGAAGTCGGATCGAGTACAGTGGCTGTAGGCGGCGGAAGCTCTACACACCGGCATCCTAGTATCGTACCGATGCGGATATTTTCTGTCCATCAATAAATGCGACCTCAATCCCTCTCAACAACAGCGGTATCTCGGAGTTATCTGCGAATCCCATACCGCATCGTTCCGCATCCCGGAGGATAAGTTGCTCAAACTCCATCAGCTCATCGACCAAGCGCTTGCGAACGACTCCGTGCCCGTGCGCACGCTCGAGAAGATAGCCGGCAAGTGTGTCAGCATGTCGGTCGTGATTCGGCCGGCCTCTCTTTGGACTCATTACATGTTCGCGGCGATCAGGAATGCTAAGGGTCGGGCCATTCAGTTGAGGGACAAACACGACCTCCGCGCGAAGCTACGCATTTGGCTCACCCTGTCATCGACCGCTCAGGAGGGACCGTGGTAAAAGGCGAGACCCTACGACGTCTATCTCATCACCGCTTCGTCGGATGCATCATCCAACCAATATGGTGGAATAGTGTCACTGCCGAGTGGCGCATTCTCCGCAGGCGGCGGATTCCCCCACGAATAGCTGTCGTGTTCCATTAATGGCAAGGCGATTTTCGCGTTGCTCGAGGTGCTGAAGGAGTGTTGTAGCGCTCGCCCGGGCGAACTTAAGCGAGCACAAGTTTTGATGGATGTTGACAATAGAGCGGTCGTCGACGCGTTTCGGAAGGGCAGATCGAGTAAGCCCATCGCACGCTCGATGCTGGTTAGCCTTTACGAGCTCCAAATCGAACACGGATTTTGGCTCACATTGAGGTCGATACCGTCAGCGGCGAATAGCGTCGCCGACGACATCACACGACCAGCCCGGCACGAAATTTCCGCCTTCGATCACGTGTGTTTGAGCAGCTGCGCGCGTTTTTCGGGGAATTTACGGTCAATCTTATGGCGTCTTCCGAGAATGCTCAGTGTACCGATGCGGGGGGAGCCGGGGGCCCATCCCGTCTGCCGTTTTTCTCACGGTATCGCTGCGAAGGCACGGCCGGAGTGGACGTGTTTAGCCAGGATGTAGCAATTACACCGGGGCTGGGCATGCCGGCCTTCGGGTATTGTTTCCCGCCGCCGGTCATGGCGGGGCACATTATTCAACATCTGTCCGAGTGTCGAGCTCACGCAGTGGTACTTTTGCCAGATGTACAAGATTTTTGGTGGCCGCGGGCCGCACGGGCCGCCGTCAGATCGCTAGTGTTACCGAGGACGGGGAGTTTTGGATACCCCCACCATCAGGACGGCGTTCGCGATTACACTTATGTTCGACACGGAATGCGCGCAGTGGAATTGGATTTTCGCGATAAATGTTACGGTGATTATAGTCGCCCCTCTACTTGTTCGTGTCCGTTTTGCCGTGCCTGTACTATCATCAACATAATGCGGCGGGGACCCTTGAGCGGGTTCCCTCCGGATCCACGCGAGTACAGGACCGGATACCGCAAGTATTGTGTAGTACGTGTGGGGCCCAGAACGATGCCACATTCAACTTCTGCCAACACTGTGGTACTCCACCGTTTCGGGGGCTATTAGAACCTCGGGCGCCCGGGGCGATCGTGGTCATCGATAAAACCCGATTGGCCGAGCGGAAAGAGACTGCCTTAGCATCGTTGAGTAGTAAGGACAGTCTGCAACGCAAATGCGCGGCGGCGGACAAGTTTGACGCATTTCTCCGAGCGCACACGAACGGGATACGGGGATGGGAAAGTGCTACTGATGTCGACGTGCAGGATTGGCTCTGCTGGCTAGATTCTCATGGTAACGGCACGAAGTTGGTTCATGCGGTAGACTGCCCCGTGATCGGGTCCAATTCAATGGCAGCGTGCAGCAAGGAGAGTACCTGCGCCAAACGGTACGCTGCTCAAACACTAGACAAGGCGTTTGTGTCGTAACTCAAGTGTGCGATTTGTGAGATTTTGGGGAAGTCGATCCCATGGGATGAGCGTGAGAAGAAAGGTAACGCAGCCGACAAACGGCGATTCGGAAGTACCCGTCGTGGGTCCAAGTAGAACAGCGCAGTGTGGGGGTTACCGTCAAGCAAGCCCGACCGATGCTAGCCCCGCTACTGGGTCTTGTGCGATACATGTGCAACACCGCGAGCCACTTGTACACGGTGGGCGAGCGGGTGGCCCGAAGCCGAGATATCGCGTTGTTTGTCACTGCCTTTCACACGATGCAACGAGGATTCGATTTGGCGTGCGCGTTGGCGGCACAGTTCTTGCACCTTCCGGATGGGACGGGGATGATTTTCAATTTTCATTTCGGCAAGACTCTACGAAGCTCGTCGCACGCGGTAGTAGTTCGACGAGATCGTCAATGTACCGAGCTATGCCCGTGGCGGGCGATACAAGAGTCTTGCATCGCAGCCAAGTCAGCAGGATGGAACATGGGGGTACCTATTCCCCGAGGTCAACGCCGACGGCTCGCGCGGGTCGTCACAGTGGTCAGTGGCGCGTATGACCGCCTCGCTACAAGCTCATATTCGGAACGGCCGCCTGGGCGATGCAGGTGGTCAGTATACCATGCACTCGTTTCGGGTAGGAGGAACGGTAAGCCAAACGCTAGCGGGGACGGCGGTAGACGCCCCTATGGATTTTGTGGGATGGAAGACGCGAGGGGTTGCACAGCGATATGTAGGGTCCACGACCCAAGGGGGAGAGGCCGTCGTTGAGCGAAGGCGAGTCCAGAGCCAACAGGAGCAGGAACGGTTGTATATGGAGACCGTCGACCTCCCGTTGCAGGAAGGCTTTGCGGAACGTTTTTCGGCTTTCGGACGATGGAAAGCCATGAGATACGGTATAGCGGGGTCGTCGATGGAGAAGTATGGGGATCAATTAAGGCCACGACAGGGAATGATGACACAGGTGAAAACATGAAGTATGGGTGGGTCCCATGCTAAGTATGGGTGGGTCCCATGCCGTGGCAGGATGCCTCATTTCATCTCAAACTCTACATCGTCGACAACTATTCCGCAGTAAAATAATGTCGAAATCATGGAATCACGAAGGGGTTACGTGGATGAGAACAGATGATCTGCAACAAAGGCTTAGAGAGAGCGCCCACTCGTGACAAGCCTCCTCAACCCTAACGGAGGAAAAGAACGGTAAGAATAGCAGCCGTCCCACCCGTCCAACTATGCTGTATTTGATTTATTTACTGGGGTAATTACTCTCGGCGTGACTGCCACGTTGACGACACGAGGGACGTCAACGCGGGGGCACTCACCGTGGGTGGAGTCTCCAGGCTTTTCGTAGCAGGAGGCCTCATTTCATTCCAAACTCTACATCGTCGACAACTTTTCCGCAGGATAGTTGTCAACGATATAGAGTTTGGGATGAAATGAGGCCTCCGGCTACGGCACGGGATCTCGATAGTTTTTGATAGCTATTATTTTAGACTAATCCCGAACGCACACGTCTCCGCGAAGCCTTCCTGCATTGGCAAATCCACTGCTTGGATATACCGCTGCTCCTGCTCCCTCCGGTCCGGATCTCGCGGAAGCTCAGTGGAGGAGCCCCCCCCGTGAATCATGGGGCCAGCGTACCGCTGGCTACCCTTCTCGTCTTCCATCTCACTAACTCCATAATAAGGGCTTCTACGGCCGTCCCCGCAAGGGACTGGCTAACGGCTCCTCCCACCCTAAAGGAGTGCGCAGTATACAAGCCGTGGTGGTCGTTCAAACGGCCTTCCCGCATGTGACTTTGCAGAGCCGCTGTCATGCGAGCTGCAGTCCACTGGGACGTCCCCCTTGAGCCATCTCCCTGGATCTCGGGAAACGGGTCTACCCCTCAAGCATATTTCAACCCACGGACTTCGCGACAGTGAAAACTTCTTGTACCGCTCGGACTGGACACCATTCGTTACACTTCTTATCCCTTGTAGCAACAACTGCGTATGGCGAACTGCGGAGCGTCTTGCCGAAGTGAAGGTTGAAAATCATTCCTTGGCCTTCTGGGAGGCGCAACACTTGTTGTGCTGCTAATAATGCGCGTGCCAAATCGAATCAACGCTGCATTGTATAACAAACGCCGCGACGTCTCTACTGCGAGCCACTCGCTCACCCACGGTGTGTAGCTGGTCTGCGGTGTTGCGCATGTGCCGTAAAGTGTTGCTGCTAATAATAATGCGCGTGCCAAATCGAATCCCCGCTGCATCGTATAACAAACGCTGCGACGTCTCTACTGCGAGCCACTCGCTCACCCACGGTGTGTAGCTGGTCTGCGGTGTTGCGCATGTGCCGTACGAGCCGCAAAAGGAGCGGGGCCAACATGGGCCTGGCTTGTTTGACGGTAACTCCCGCCCGACGCTGCTCGGTGTGGGCGTACGAGAGGTGGTACCGACCGATAGCCGCGCTATCGGCCGCATTGCCTCGTTTCTCCCTGTCGTCCCACGCATCAGACTTTTCTAATATCTCGACCATGGCTCTTTTGAGTTTCGTGACGAATCCTTTATCCAATGTTTGGGCCGCACATACGCCACCGCGGGGAAACAAAACACAGGTAGCCTTCACTGACGCTATGGAGTCATTCCTAATCTGTCTTGGACTCTTTTCCTCGATAGAAATGGATTCGTTGTGTCATACTAGATCGGGAGGTGGAACAGTTTTTTGTTGAAAAACGTACCTGTAGTAGGCTCGTGCGTTGCAACCATTGGCCCGTTCACTACACAGCAGTATTACAATATTTTGATTGAGGCGTGGGGGGCCCCAATCAATGTGATGGACTCCGAAAAAAAATGTCTTGGAAAAAAAGACACCTCCACACGGATTCGAACCCATGATTTCGAGAGTCAGGGTGGCTATCACCGAGTTCACGAAGCGAGTTGGCATTTTTACAACGTCGTTGCCAAGCGACGAAAACCCAATCCCGA